AAAAAAAAAAGAAGCATTAACACATGTTAGACTGCACCCCATAAACACAATCAAGCCTAGAAAAAAAACAGTGAACCACCCCTTTAAAAGTGTATCCACTTACAGCGCTCCAAATTCAGACTACCTTAATCCATTTCATAGAAACTAATATATAATATAAAACTTTTGTTTTTAAAAATATTTGTGATATATTTTACGAGCAAATCACGAACAATCCCTGATTGTGTTGGTTAATGTTTAGATTTACATATTTAACCAGTTTAACTTCAACAGTTTTTTTTCTTACTTTCGCTTTCGTTTCTCCCCAGTGTTTTCGTGCGGTTGCTTACAGAAAAGGGGGGTTTTGGGGGGGGTTCTTTCTACAATTGGTTCTTTAGACGCCCACGAGCCGATCTGGTAATACTGTGTGCATCAAGAGAAGGTAGCGAGGCATTGAAGAGGAAGAGCTGCGCGATGGCGTCCACCTTAGCGGTCCTTATGCTCCTGTCTGCGGGTTTATTCACGGAAACAGTCGGTAAGTTTCTTACAAAAATGAAAAGAAACACTTTAAACACTTTTATTTGCACAGCACTTGATTTTAAGGGTACTTTTTAAACGATGTTCACATTATAAAGTCCGTTCTCTTGAATTGATCATATCATCGCATGGTCTTTTAGGTTTTAGTGATGACTGTGTGGGCTACTTCACCAGCAATAACGTGTACAGGTCTTCGATTACCTGCGGGTTTGGGCAGCACTGCTGTGGAACCTGCAATGACAGATACTGCTGTTACTTTGGATCTACGAAGTTATCCCGGCATGAGCAAAGTATGTGCAATATGTAAGTATTTTTAAGCCGTTTCTTTCTTAATACAATTGTCCGTTAGACCCAAAACTTACTTTTTATACACCCTCACATAATTCCAAACCAAAATTGTTTGAATCTTCAAAAATGACATTGTTTTAAATATATTTGGGTCAGTTAATGCTTTAATTCCCCTCATCATCCATAGCTGTGATCTACTGATAATTCTGTGAACTGAGACATGGTACAATCCAGAGATTTACACTGAAATGTGTTGTGTGTATTAGCGTTAATGTCTGTTTTTGAGTATCTTGAAATGTACTTTTCGTTTCCGGTGAGTTCAGTTGAGGTTCTGTCTTTCCCTTGACTTGTCTCACCCATTTCCTACAGAGGTTGTGGTCTTTTTCACTGAAATGCAGTTTGCAAAATGCACCCCACTCACTGATTGGTGCATGTTACGCTTTTAACAGCAACTTTGTTAATTAAAGAACAAACACTTTAAAAAGTGGTAGTGATCACATCAATTTAAAGACAAGGCAGGAGAGAAGTAGCATGATGCAACTTCTCATTTTTGAAGGGGGTTAACGTGGTGGCCTAGGCAAGACAGGACATGACCAAAGGAGTTAAAAAACGTTCTAACAAATATTTTAGACAAGCAAACGTTTTATTTATTTTTTTAGTGGCAATGTTTGCAATTATGGCCCTGGTTTGAATCCTGATTTGATATTTGTTTTTATTGTTTTTAATAATCCAAGCACAAAGCAAACTAGCCAGTGTGTTTTACTTAAACCAGAGTGGTTTCATTACATTTATAAAAAATAAAAATAAATCAATAAATGAAATTTTAATATAAATAAGATTTATAGATTAAATATACTAGAAGATGCTTTTTCTATTGCTTGTTGCTTCATGTTTTTATCTGTCCAACAGCAGAAACAGTAGTATTGTCATTGGCTTATCAGTAGTGGGGTTTGTGGTCTTCATCATCGTGTTCATCACCTGCTGCTGCTGCCCCTGCTGCTGTATCTATAAAATGTGCAAAAAACCCAGACGTAAGTGTTGTAGTGTTAAAGAAATACTTCACCAAAAACTGAAAACGTACTCGTCCTCAGGCCATTCAAGATGTAGATGAGCTTGTTTCTTCATCAGAACAGATTTGGAGAAATGTATCATTTTATCACTTGCTCAGCAATGGATGCTCTGCAGTGAATGGGTGCCGTCAGAATGAGAGTGAATCGGTGCCGTCAGAATGAGAGTCCAAACAGCTGATAAAAACATCACAGTGATCCACCAGTAATCTACACGACTCGTCGATCAATTAATGTCTTGTGAGGCTAAAATGTGTTTATAAGAAACAAATCCATCATTAAGGCGCTTTATAACATTAAATTGTCACTTTTGGCCAAAATGCAAGTCCTCTATCCATAATATTGCTATCTCCAGTAAAAAAAAAAATGCTCTTGTCTGAATCAGGAGAGAAATATGCACAGATCAATCATTGTTTACAAGTGAAAATAGTAAAAACTGTTCTAAACAAATATGTTGGTGGATTTTTTCACAGGAGAAAGTGTTGTTATGGATTATTTTGTCCAGTTGCGATGGTTTAAAGTAAAAAATGTCTTGATAGATTTGTTTCTTGGAAACATGCGGCTTTTGGCTTCACAAGACATTAACTGATGGACTGGAGTGGTGTGGATTGCTTGTGGATTATTATGATGTTTTTATCAGCTGTTTGGACTCTCATTCTGACGGCACCCATTCACTGCAGAGGATTAACTGGTGATGTAATGCTACATTTCTCCAAATCTGTTCTGATGAAGAAACAAACTCATCTACATTTTGGATGGCCTGAGGGTGAGTAAATGTTCAGCTAATTTTTATTTTTGGGTGAACTGTTCCATTAATGGGGATTATATATTATTCAGGGGGCTAGTAAAATGTAATTATTAATTGATTTCTGTCTTGTTTTTTCCCCACAGCTGTGGTAGGAACGCATATAACTACAGTCATGAATACACAATGCATTCAGCAGCAGCAGCAGCCTGTAATGCAGGGAGGCCAGTACCCACAATACCAACCAGTGCCGACTCAACCGGGTTACGGTGGTCAGCCTATGCAGACAGGACCATATCAGGGACAGTCATATGCACCAGGACCCCCACCCTCGTATCACGTGGCCAGTAAGAACACCTAATACTGCATAGACTGAGACCATGTAGTAGTCTTTTCTGTGAAAGTAACTAGTGTCTTTTACTGTTTCCAGTGAGTCCTGGATATCCCACTAGTCAGGGTGCATATGACGGAGGCCAGGCCATGTACCCCATGCAGCCGCCTGCCCAGCCAGGTGTTGCTCCTATGCTTTCAGAGACATCGAATCAGCCGGCCTACAACCCCGCCTACATGCAGCCACCAAACACCGGTTACTAAACCGCAACCGTCTCTCAAATCAGTCATTGCTGGATTGTGGAGGTTGACGCACTTTTGCAAGGCAGTAAAAATGTGCCTAATCTGATGTGCATTATACAAGACTATTGGATGTGTTAAAGTCAGGGTTATTACAGTTTTTAATAATTACAGTTCAATTTGAGTTATTTTGTTTTATCACTTTCAATTTCTTTCAGTTTAGTTTAGTATATTATTTTTGGAATTGTAAATAAAACAAAGATTACTATAGAAAGTTTTACAATACCATTTCAATCTTTCTACAAGCAATGAGTGAAAATTGTTTCTACACCATTTTTTTAAAATGCAGTTTTCAAAAATAATATACTAAACTAAACTGAAAGAAATTGAAAGTGATAAAACAAAATAACTCAAATTGAACTGTAATTATTAAAAACTGTAATAACCCTGACTTTAACACATCCAATAGTCTTGTATAATGCACATCAGATTAGGCACATTTTTACTGCCTTGCAAAAGTGCGTCAACCTCCACAATCCAGCAATGACTGATTTGAGAGACGGTTGCGGTTTAGTAACCGGTGTTTGGTGGCTGCATGTAGGCGGGGTTGTAGGCCGGCTGATTCGATGTCTCTGAAAGCATAGGAGCAACACCTGGCTGGGCAGGCGGCTGCATGGGGTACATGGCCTGGCCTCCGTCATATGCACCCTGACTAGTGGGATATCCAGGACTCACTGGAAACAGTAAAAGACACTAGTTACTTTCACAGAAAAGACTACTACATGGTCTCAGTCTATGCAGTATTAGGTGTTCTTACTGGCCACGTGATACGAGGGTGGGGGTCCTGGTGCATATGACTGTCCCTGATATGGTCCTGTCTGCATAGGCTGACCACCGTAACCCGGTTGAGTCGGCACTGGTTGGTATTGTGGGTACTGGCCTCCCTGCATTACAGGCTGCTGCTGCTGCTGAATGCATTGTGTATTCATGACTGTAGTTATATGCGTTCCTACCACAGCTGTGGGGAAAAAACAAGACAGAAATCAATTAATAATTACATTTTACTAGCCCCCTGAATAATATATAATCCCCATTAATGGAACAGTTCACCCAAAAATAAAAATTAGCTGAACATTTACTCACCCTCAGGCCATCCAAAATGTAGATGAGTTTGTTTCTTCATCAGAACAGATTTGGAGAAATGTATCATTTTATCACTTGCTCAGCAATGGATGCTCTGCAGTGAATGGGTGCCGTCAGAATGAGAGTGAATCGGTGCCGTCAGAATGAGAGTCCAAACAGCTGATAAAAACATCACAGTGATCCACCAGTAATCTACACGACTCGTCGATCAATTAATGTCTTGTGAGGCTAAAATGTGTTTATAAGAAACAAATCCATCATTAAGGCGCTTTATAACATTAAATTGTCACTTTTGGCCAAAATGCAAGTCCTCTATCCATAATATTGCTATCTCCAGTAAAAAAAAAAATGCTCTTGTCTGAATCAGGAGAGAAATATGCACAGATCAATCATTGTTTACAAGTGAAAATAGTCAAAACCGTTCTAAACAAATATGTTGGTGGATTTTTTCACAGGAGAAAGTGTTGTTATGGATTATTTTGTCCAGTAGCGATGGTTTAAAGTAAAAAATGTCTTGATAGATTTGTTTCTTGGAAACATGCGGCTTTTGGCTTCACAAGACATTAACTGATGGACTGGAGTGCTGTGGATTGCTTGTGGATTATTATGATGTTTTTATCAGCTGTTTGGACTCTCATTCTGACGGCACCCATTCACTGCAGAGGATTAACTGGGGATGTAATGCTACATTTCTCCAAATCTGTTCTGATGAAGAAACAAACTCATCTACATTTTGGATGGCCTGAGGGTGAGTAAATGTTCAGCTAATTTTTATTTTTGGGTGAACTGTTCCATTAATGGGGATTATATATTATTCAGGGGGCTAGTAAAATGTAATTATTAATTGATTTCTGTCTTGTTTTTTCCCCACAGCTGTGGTAGGAACGCATATAACTACAGTCATGAATACACAATGCATTCAGCAGCAGCAGCAGCCTGTAATGCAGGGAGGCCAGTACCCACAATACCAACCAGTGCCGACTCAACCGGGTTACGGTGGTCAGCCTATGCAGACAGGACCATATCAGGGACAGTCATATGCACCAGGACCCCCACCCTCGTATCACGTGGCCAGTAAGAACACCTAATACTGCATAGACTGAGACCATGTAGTAGTCTTTTCTGTGAAAGTAACTAGTGTCTTTTACTGTTTCCAGTGAGTCCTGGATATCCCACTAGTCAGGGTGCATATGACGGAGGCCAGGCCATGTACCCCATGCAGCCGCCTGCCCAGCCAGGTGTTGCTCCTATGCTTTCAGAGACATCGAATCAGCCGGCCTACAACCCCGCCTACATGCAGCCACCAAACACCGGTTACTAAACCGCAACCGTCTCTCAAATCAGTCATTGCTGGATTGTGGAGGTTGACGCACTTTTGCAAGGCAGTAAAAATGTGCCTAATCTGATGTGCATTATACAAGACTATTGGATGTGTTAAAGTCAGGGTTATTACAGTTTTTAATAATTACAGTTCAATTTGAGTTATTTTGTTTTATCACTTTCAATTTCTTTCAGTTTAGTTTAGTATATTATTTTTGGAATTGTAAATAAAACAAAGATTACTATAGAAAGTTTTACATGAAAATACCATTTCAATCTTTCTACAAGCAATGAGTGAAAATTGTTTCTACACAATTTTTTTAAAATGCAGTTTTAGTTTTTATTAGTGCTTTCTGCTTTCAGTATTAATTATTCTAGTATACATGGATACACAATATAACAAACATAGTAAAAAGACTAAAATCTAAAATATAACTTGTCATTTTTATTATTTTTGTTAGCTAATACTCTTTATTTACAGCTTATGTAATTTTGTTTTTGAGTTTTCATATTAAGTTTCATTATGTAGACCACATATAAATGTTTTGTTTTCCCCCCCCTACATTTCAAATGGCAGGAACTGTGATTCTATTTAAAGAAAGTGTCAACCGCATTTTAATAACAATGAGTGTCAAATTTCCCAAGAGGGTCTGGCTGCAGCCTCACACTTGCACTCTCAGACACTTGCGCTTCCGCTAGCGACGTCACTTGCAGTCTTTTATTTTGTTCTATTTATTGATTACTTTTTGTTTGAATCTATTAACTTTTTACAACAGTAGCCAGGTGGTGAAGACAAGAAAAAATTAACTAAATTACGAAGTCACTTGCAATCGCCACTTGCACTCTCCAATACCTGCGACGTCACTTGCAATCGACACAAATCGTGCGTGTTGCCAATGGAGACGAGACGCTGTGGTGATTAAACAATTACAACTAATTTAGTACTATAACGTACAGGGTCCTGCAAGAAAAAGACAAGACCCGCAAATCCGTGGCCACAGAACAGCAGAATATGAACACAATGCGCAAAGTCTCTCCTTAAGCGTTTTCCTCCTGTAGAAAAACATAAACACTTAACATGGCTTAATGTATTAAGATACATTAAGTTCAATTAAAAGATCAAATTCGATATATAGTTATTATTTAATGTACTACAAGGCAAACAGATGGCTATGAACACAATGCGCAAACTTTCACTTGTCCTCCCATACAGCAAAATGCTTAATGTTGTATAATAACGGACTATGATAAAGACAATACAGTAATAAAAAATAGAACAAAATAAAAAATAAAGCCTGTAAGTGACGTCGCTAGCAGAAGCACAAGTGTCTGAGAGTGCAAGTGCGAGGCTGCAGCCAGACCCTTCTCTAATTTCCACAAATATGTCATGAGTCCCACTGACTTTCTGTACCAACAAGTTTAAATCCACATGCTCGCTTTTAAGCACAGAAGGGCTGTCAAGGTAGGAAAAAGGGTTAATTTTGTTAAAGCAAGCTTTGTTAAAGCATTAGGAAACCACTGTCATTTGCAGTAATTGAATGTATATGGGGCCCCTACTGGTGAAATAAAACAGAAAAAATCTCTAGTGTTTGTATTGTTACTAATCATCTAATTGTAATAGAGTATTTTATATATTTTATTCTTTTTATTTATATATTTAAATATTTAAAAATTCTGTGTGCAGGCTAAATGTGTTTTAAATATGATCCCAGAAATCATATTTTACTTTTATAGTAATTTGTTATTCCTTAGTACTGAATGATTACTATATTCATTTACCATAGTATTGATACTCCAACCCTTATGAAAATTAACCATGGTTTTATAGTAAAAGTGTCGTAACAATTGTTTTTTGGTGACCATCACCACAGTTATATTACAAATACCATGGTTAAACTATGGGTAATGTAGCAAAACCATGGTTAATTTGTGGTTACCATAGTTTAACTGCTGTACCCATGGTTTTTTGGTTTTATTTTAGTTAAACCATGGTTAATTTTTGCAAGGGAAGGTAGTCCAAAGTCCAAAACACTGGACATAGACATCTGATTTCTTCAATCCACTTGTTGTTACCAAACACCGGTTACTAAACCGCAACCGTCTCTCAAATCAGTCATTGCTGGATTGTGGAGGTTGACGCACTTTTGCAAGGCAGTAAAAATGTGCCTAATCTGATGTGCATTATACAAGACTATTGGATGTGTTAAAGTCAGGGTTATTACAGTTTTTAATAATTACAGTTCAATTTGAGTTATTTTGTTTTATCACTTTCAATTTCTTTCAGTTTAGTTTAGTATATTATTTTTGGAATTGTAAATAAAACAAAGATTACTATAGAAAGTTTTACAATACCATTTCAATCTTTCTACAAGCAATGAGTGAAAATTGTTTCTACACCATTTTTTTAAAATGCAGTTTTAGTTTTTATTAGTGCTTTCTGCTTTCAGTATTAATTATTCTAGTATACATGGATACACAATATAACAAACATAGTAAAAAGACTAAAATCTAAAATATAACTTGTCATTTTTATTATTTTTGTTAGCTAATACTCTTTATTTACAGCTTATGTAATTTTGTTTTTGAGTTTTCATATTAAGTTTCATTATGTAGACCACATATAAATGTTTTGTTTTCCCCCCCCTACATTTCAAATGGCAGGAACTGTGATTCTATTTAAAGAAAGTGTCAACCGCATTTTAATAACAATGAGTGTCAAATTTCCCAAGAGGGTCTGGCTGCAGCCTCACACTTGCACTCTCAGACACTTGCGCTTCCGCTAGCGACGTCACTTGCAGTCTTTTATTTTGTTCTATTTATTGATTACTTTTTGTTTGAATCTATTAACTTTTTACAACAGTAGCCAGGTGGTGAAGACAAGAAAAAATTAACTAAATTACGAAGTCACTTGCAATCGCCACTTGCACTCTCCAATACCTGCGACGTCACTTGCAATCGACACAAATCGTGCGTGTTGCCAATGGAGACGAGACGCTGTGGTGATTAAACAATTACAACTAATTTAGTACTATAACGTACAGGGTCCTGCAAGAAAAAGACAAGACCCGCAAATCCGTGGCCACAGAACAGCAGAATATGAACACAATGCGCAAAGTCTATCCTTAAGCGTTTTCCTCCTGTAGAAAAACATAAACACTTAACATGGCTTAATGTATTAAGATACATTAAGTTCAATTAAAAGATCAAATTCGATATATAGTTATTATTTAATGTACTACAAGGCAAACAGATGGCTATGAACACAATGCGCAAACTTTCACTTGTCCTCCCATACAGCAAAATGCTTAATGTTGTATAATAACGGACTATGATAAAGACAATACAGTAATAAAAAATAGAACAAAATAAAAAATAAAGCCTGTAAGTGACGTCGCTAGCAGAAGCACAAGTGTCTGAGAGTGCAAGTGCGAGGCTGCAGCCAGACCCTTCTCTAATTTCCACAAATATGTCATGAGTCCCACTGACTTTCTGTACCAACAAGTTTAAATCCACATGCTCGCTTTTAAGCACAGAAGGGCTGTCAAGGTAGGAAAAAGGGTTAATTTTGTTAAAGCAAGCTTTGTTAAAGCATTAGGAAACCACTGTCATTTGCAGTAATTGAATGTATATGGGGCCCCTACTGGTGAAATAAAACAGAAAAAATCTCTAGTGTTTGTATTGTTACTAATCATCTAATTGTAATAGAGTATTTTATATATTTTATTCTTTTTATTTATATATTTAAATATTTAAAAATTCTGTGTGCAGGCTAAATGTGTTTTAAATATGATCCCAGAAATCATATTTTACTTTTATAGTAATTTGTTATTCCTTAGTACTGAATGATTACTATATTCATTTACCATAGTATTGATACTCCAACCCTTATGAAAATTAACCATGGTTTTATAGTAAAAGTGTCGTAACAATTGTTTTTTGGTGACCATCACCACAGTTATATTACAAATACCATGGTTAAACTATGGGTAATGTAGCAAAACCATGGTTAATTTGTGGTTACCATAGTTTAACTGCTGTACCCATGGTTTTTTGGTTTTATTTTAGTTAAACCATGGTTAATTTTTGCAAGGGAAGGTAGTCCAAAGTCCAAAACACTGGACATAGACATCTGATTTCTTCAATCCACTTGTTGTTACATTTACTGTTTGGAAAACTAGTCAGGTTGTGGAGAAGTTAAAAGGTTTTTTATGAGTTTTGATTCACATTGAAACATAACAAAATATGAAGTTGTAGTTCCCTTTAGAACGGTCTCTCCCTTTGCGTTAAAGCTATGGGAAACTCCTGTTTACTCTGATACTGAAGCCTGATTTGGTCACATTTGTGTAGCTGCACGAATCAATGGTGCTTCAAACTGTCAAAAGGGGTGGAGCCGACTGCTATATAAGTCGGCTCTGAGCGCCATTTCATCAGAATTTTTCTCCTTCAGCGACGAAGGCCATCTCCTCACTGGACTCTGAAGCAGGAAGTCGAAGCAAGAAGCAAGAAGCTCTGCTGCTGCTGCTGCAGCACTTTGATCCGCCGGTGTGTTTTACACGAGAGGATCAGCACCCCTCGTGACACCTGACTTCCTTCTCCCCAATGGGTCATTACGAGTTGGCAGAGAGCGAACTGATTCACATCCTCACCAGGCAGTGGAGATTCTCTGCATAGAATGGTCAGCCAGAAGAGCCTGCCCGCAGCTGCTTAGAAAGAGATGTTGGACAAAGGGCACACCCCTTCCACGCTCAAAGTCTATGTGGCAGGCGTTGAGTTTCTGAGGGGAGCTCGGAGATTGAATCCGCCTCGCCCTCATATTGTGCCGACTTGGGATTTATCTATAGTCCTCAGGCCCTACGGGGCCCTCCAGTCACTTAAGTCCGCCCTCCTTCTGGCTTTAGCGTCGGTCAAGCAAGTTGGTGACCTTCAGGCACTGTCAGTCAGTGCTTCATGTCTTGAGTTTGGGCCTAATGACTGTAGAGTCATGCTGAAACCAAGAAAAAAAAGTTTTGTGCCGAAAGTGCTCTCCACTCCATTCAGAGCACAAGCCAATCATCCTTCTAGCACTCCCCAATTCAGAAGGTGAACAGGGTCCTAATCCACTAAGAGTACATGTTTAACGCTCTGGCCGATTTTGGCACTCAGAGCAGCTCTTTGTATGCTTTGGTGGTGATATCTGTGCGGCCACCGGCCTATTTGGTCTGGCTGAAGGAAATGTAAATTTGCATCTGTACAGTAGAAGGCGCAGCTCAAACAAGCCTTTCAGCAAACTGTTCAGCTGTCATTTTTGAGAAATACTGAATCTGTTTTTGTGCAACTGAGATGAGTAAATGCATGTTCACATTTAGTCTAGAACTACAGTGAGGAAAATATTTATTTGATCCCCTGCTGATTTTTTAAGTTTGCCCACTTACAAAGAAATGAAGGGTCTATAATTTTTATGGTAGATTTATTTTAACAGATAGAGACAGAATATCAACCAAAAAATCCAGAAAAAACACATTATATAAAGGTTAGAAATTGGTTTGCATTTCAGTGAGTGAAATAAATATTTGATTCCCTACCAACCAGCAAGAATATAATGATCTTAAGGCAGTTGGGACCACAGTCACTATTGGTAACACACTACACGGCAATGGACTGATTCTGCAGTGCCCTGCAGTGCCCACAAGGTCCCACTGCTCAAGAAGGCACATGTACAGGCCCGTTTAAAGTTTGCCAAAGAACATCTAAATGATTCAGAGAAGGCTTGGGAGAAAGTGCTGTGGTCAGATGAGACCAAAATTGAGCTCTTTGGCATTAACTCGACTCGCCGTGTTTGGAGGGAGAGAAATGCTGACTATGACCCCAAGAACACCATCCCTACAGTCAAGCACGGAGGTGGAAACATTATGCTTTGGGGCTGTTTTTCTGCTAAGGGTACAGGACGAATTCACCGCACTGAGGGGCAAATGGACGGGGTCATGTACTGTAAAATCCTGGACGATAACCTCCTTCCCTCAGCCAGAACACTGAAGATGGGTCATGGATGGGTCTTCCAGCATGACAATGACTCGAAACATACCGCCAAGGCAACAAAGGAGTGGCTCAAGAAGAAGCACATTAAGGTCATGGAGTGGCCTAGCCAGTCCCCAGACCTCAGTCCTATAGAAAATCTGTGGAGGGAGCTGAAACTTCGAGTTGCCAAACGACAGCAAAAAACCTTAAAGAGATTTAGAGAGGATCTGTAAAGAGGAGTGGATCAAAATTCCTCCTGAGATGTGTGCAAACCTGGTGACCAACTACAAAAAACATCTTACCTCTGTGCTTGCCAACAAGGGATCAAATACTGATTTCACTCACTGAAATGCAAATCTATTTCTAACCTTTATATAATGTGTTTTTTCTGGATTTTTTGGTTAGTATTCTGTCTCTATACGTTAAAATAAACCTACCATAAAAATTACAGACCCTTCATTTCTTTGTATGTGGGCAAACTTACAAAATCAGCAGGGGATCAAATAAATATTTTCCCCACTGTATGACATTATATTACATAGATATTACATTATAATTTTACTAAGTCATGTTTTGCTTGGGGATCAAATACTGATTTCACTCACTGAAATGCAAATCTATTTCTAACCTTTATATAATGTTTTTTCTGGATTTTTTGGTTAGTATTCTGTCTCTATACGTTAAAGCTCACCATGTGAGACCACTGTCATATCATTGGGTTAAACTCATTCTTTTAACTGTGACCTAAAAATTCTCTAATATTGGACAGTAATATCACAAACATGTAGAATTTAATCTTTTATTTCCTTCAAAGTATTTCTATAATTCAGTTTCCTTGGTCATTTTGATTTATTTTCAGTTTGGTGTTGGCATTCGACAGACATTTCAATTTAACAGATACATTCTGCTTTTGGTGATGTTTTGATGACTCCTTTTCGATTCTTAACTTCAAATTCTTTGTCCCCTTGGAAAGACTTGACACATCCTGAAACACAGAGAACAATATGTCAAACAATTCCACAGTCAACAGTCCCTAACACAAATGTACATCACAATAGTAATGTTTGTCTTCTTCTTCGTTGGAGTTTTATGGCAGTTGGCATCCATAGTGTTGCATTACTGCCATCTGCTGTCTCACTTTAACTTACTATATCTTAATTAAATTCATCCTTCCAGTCCAGTCCTCCTTAGAAAATTAAACAAATATCTCCGTCCTTGGTCACTATTTCCATATGTTACTATATTTTTAACATTAAACTCTACTATACCTATTTCCCGTAGCTGATTCTTGAATAGTGATATTTGATTCTTCTTCTGTTTTATGGTGGGTAGCACCAGCATTAAGGTGCATTATCGTCACATTCAGTGTTGGAGTTTACCCATTTCATAAAAGAAACCCTTCATTCTCTTTATCAGTTCTGTACTTTTGAGATAAAGAAATAAGCTCTCTAATCCATAAGTGATTATAAGTTTGTTTTTTTTAGCTTTATTCCTTCCACTCCAACCTTTCTAAGTTCCTTCTTCCTTGTTTCTTTCTCATTAAAATACTTTTGACAAACACATAGATGTTCCACTGACTCCTCTTGTGGCAAACATAGAAATCATGATTATAACTTGTGTACCCCCCCCTTAAAAGCAAGTGGGGCAGCTAGAAAAAGTTTTCGGGCCCTGAACATTCTGCGGTGAGCAAGAAAGAGAGATGTGCCATGTTTGTGCTCCGTTTTGTTTTCGCTTGTTTTGTTTATTAAAGATTAACCTGCTCTTCATTTCATTACGCTTGTCTATAGTCTCGTATTTCAAGTGTGCAACACTGCTCACATAATCCTGTTGGATGTTTATTTATTCATTTTAATGTTTTATTCAACATGTGACCAACCCTTAAACTTGATAAAATGTTGATATCCTCACTACTCCTACTTCTCGCTGTATTTTATAAAGATGACTTAAATAACATTTTATTAAAACCTGCAAAATCCTTACTGTAGAGAGATCTAAATTAATACTATAGTTTATTGTATATGCAGATTTAAGTTGTTACACAAAATCAAGCAGTTTATAAGGTTTATCTCTCTATATACTTTAGACATGTAGAACATATCTGCATTTCTGCATCAATGGATGTAATGTGTGCTGTAGGTGCGAAACTTTTAGTAATCTTAACCAAGATGTAGATGATCTTATCCCCGGTGACTAATATTTGAACTGCCTTCTCTCAACCTGCTCAAAATTTGAAACTCACAATGAGCTCACATACTACTCACACCGTGAGGATCGCAGTATGAGGATCGTGTGAGTTCATAATGAGCTCATGTATTACTCACACCGTGAGGATCACAGTATGAGGATCGTGTGAACTCACAATGATTTCATATACTACTCACACCGTGAGGATCACAGTATGAGGATCGTTTGAGTTCACAATGAGCTCCCCTATTATTCACACTGTGAGCGTCACAGTATGAGGATCGTTTGAACTCACAATGAGCTCACATACTACTCACACGGTGAGGATCACAGTATGAGGATCGTGTGATGTCACTGTGATCATTGCATGATCTCACGTGTTGCCTGGGTCTGCACTCACTCCTGATTTTTCTCAACATGAGGACAGTAGAGCTGTCAGTCAATACATGTGAAAACAAAGTAACTGGCATTACTTATTTGAAAAGGTAAGTCAGATATTTTCTTGTAAATTAAAAAGTAATTGATTAATTTACTAGTTAAAAAGTAATCTGATTACGTAACATTATTTGTAATGTCTTAGCCTCAACACGGCACTATGTCTGAATTCATAGTATTTAAAAAGTACCTGACCTACTTCTGGTTAGATTCTGAAGTAGGATTTGTGAATGTCACTCACGCTGGTAGGTCACATGACAATGACAACATGACAATGTAGTACATTCATACTACACACATTCATACTATATAGAACATACTTTTAAACAGTTGTGAAGTAATTGTGCGGTTTTAGTGGACTAAATGATTGGAGAAGTCCGGCATACGTCACCTGAGAGGGGTCTGGTGTTTCACTGGAAGATACAGTTATTACATTTTAATCTAAATTTACAAGGTAAAAAAAAGTGAAAGATTAAATATATGTTGATGAATCATTCACAATAACATCAATAACATACAACTGTAAATAAATAGGGTGAATAAGGCCGACTTTAAGTGTACTGGAGATTAAAGGGTTCCTGGTGGTTTCACACTTAATTCTTCATCTTAATGCTTAAAAGTCTTAAAATGCGGCATGAGTGCCAGCATACAAACAGTGTGTACATGTTCTGTAATGTGCAATAAAGAAAATAAACAGTGAGGTAAAGAAAAAAGGAGATTGAGGCCCCAGGTAGCCTAGTTGTTTTGGAAATGGTAGCTGGTTTCTAGCTGGTTGACCAGCTACCATGTTCCCAAAACCAGCTTTTATGACCAGACCTAGTTTTAAAATACATGTGTGGACTTTAGTTTTTGTTTCATCCACTAAGGCTTCAGGATGGGAGAGGCATTTGATGGGTTATGAGATGCACATTGTGATTACCATTGTTGTGAGTTATGTTTTATGATTTTACACACACACACGTGACACACCGCACACACAAAACTTTCATCATCTTTTATCCCATGTTTACGCTCTAGACGTCACATGCCTAATAGTGTCGTTGTTAAGATTTAAACCTGTAAGTTAAGCGGGACTGGGCTTTTTCCTTCCGAAGGCAGGGCTTGTGAGGGCTATAGGCGTCTTCTCAAATTACAACATCCGCACGGAACGCGCTATTGAAGTAGTGATGGGAAGTTCGGATCATTTTACCGACTCGGACCT